GAAAAAAAAAAAAAAACGCGAATTCACTCGGCAATCTGTTTAGGCCCTAATTAATATTAACTCTTTTAACATTGACTTTGTAACACCTGTAATTGCTGCAAAGTGCGAAATACATTTTCGGCGATTAAGGATTAATGGTGGGCGCTTTGATGGAGCTAATCCGAAAATCTACTGAACACAGTTATTAACAAAGAACAGTGTCGATTTAGCGGTCGGTGTTTCGCGTTAGGATCGATGGGAACATAATGGTGTTTGGCTCGCGGTGCACGCCGCACTACTTAATCGTGTACACAGCGAACGCTCGCGGTATTTCGAGCGCGATGCACACGCGAATGTCATTAAACTTCTATCGATTTTAATACGCAGACGTTGTCACCGCGCGGCATTATTCGCTGATAAATGTGTCTATATGTTGTTATGTCGTATAACTCTATTACAGTAAATCGAATTTAATATGAGAAATCAACTTGCGAAATATAATAAATATTCATAATGGAAATCGAACGTCACGAGTAAATGCAACATATTAGCGTGCATCCAACCTCGATCGGCCGGCGCGCACATTTAATTATTCTCCGCCTCCGTCGAGGAAGCGTTGGAATTTCATTGACGCCCGCTATTCAAAGCGCACTAACGGGTGACGCCGAAGTGCAGAACGGGAAGGGCGGGTGGGTGATTGGCATCGCTGGTTGATGTAACACACGCGATCGCGTCTCCGTACGCACGAAACGCCATTCGCACGGGACTGTATGGTCAATAGCGCACGTATACGCGAAACGATGTCGCGGTGGAGATCAGTATAATTTCGGGAGTCCTTCTGATTCTAGGGTGCTTACAATCAGCTCGGACCTGCCCACTGTTTTGCAAGTGTTGAACGAGGTCGTACCTAATTTGGAAGAGGTAAGCGCGCAAATTTCATCCACGCCTGTCCTAAAGTCCCGCCCTCCAAGTCGTACGCGTATTTTCATTTCGCGTGCGAGTTTGCGCGCAATTGTCGCACTCACGCAGATCGCAAAAATAGAGTACTCAAATTTCCACGATTTCAGAACGGCTCCCGTCATGGCAGCGACGAGATTGACGTGCGGATGCTGGTGCATCAGAGTCAGGCTGGATGCATCATCGGCAAAGGAGGTCTGAAGATCAAGGAGCTCCGCGAGGTGAGTCACTCAACAATTATTGGCAACTCGTAAAATGACATAACTCGCTTTCCACATTTCCGGCGAGCAGTTGTTTCGCGACGAGTTTCTTTGTTCGGCGAGAACTCTATGCGAGAAATAGCTGTTGGCGAATTTTGAAATGCAAAAGGACGCGACAAAAATCGCGAGAAAAAAAATCAAAGGAAATATAGTTTTCGAGAAAATTGTTTTTGGCATCCGAATCCTTTTACATTTCCATCTTTGCTGTAAGTCATCACACCGAATCTCGGATGTTCAGCCTGTCAATTAGTACGACATGAAAATAACGGCACAACACAGCTCGAAAGTAAATTCAGGCTCCATTGCGAGGCTCGGGACTTTTATTTTTTTAACAACTCACCGGCGATCACGAACTTCCGCCGTCGTCAATGTAAACACCGCGATCGGTCTATAGACTTTAAAGCGCATATTAAATTAACGAAGTGAGACAGAACTGGAAACTTTCGAGTGACCTTGTTTGTCGTTTATTTCATCAGTTTGATTACGCTCGCAAGGGAACTCGTTTCCCGCTGGTACATCGAGACGAACATTTTTAAACCAACATTTCGCGACGCTGTATACACCGCGCTGTGTGGAAACACGCGAATTATCGGTATTTACCGGTTTGTATCGACGACAGTCGCGGGAAGATCGTTTTGTCCTTACCGCTCGGGAGAATGGCAACAAAGCGGCGCGGCTCGATGTAAAACGACAATTAAGTTCTCTTTAATTAGCGATCCCTCTCCGACATCGTGGCCCCGATTTTACATAACGAGCTCCATACCCATTCGGGTATTCGAGCGAAGGGCTCGACCTGGCTTGGTTGGCTGACTGAAATATGCAACGTGGCCAAGTGGCTCGTTACGTTTCCGTGTTCGCGAGAAACAAAACCGAACGTAGCCGACCGACCGAGCTTTTGTTGTTCCGCCTCGAATCAGTGAATGCTCCAGTCGGAGTTGGAGTGTGCTGTGACTTTGTGCAAGTCTTCTTCCGTCTTTTCTCTCCGAGCGATTCATTCGTTCTTTTTTTTTTTTTTTTCCACTTTGTACCCGACAATTTTATCATTTACGTATGTGCGTTCGAAGAGTCAGCGCTTCGGAAAGGTGACGATTGTTTAACGAGGCGCTATATATTTTTGCAATTACTCGATTATCGCAAAATTGCAATTATTTTCAAACGATGAAGTTAATTGAAAACGTTTATAAATTAGCTGGGCGGATAAAATTTTGCACATCGTATTTCTATACGATTTTAATCGGTTTGATTTTTGCGATAACGCGCGCCGGTTAATTAATCGGGAACACGAGCCTGTAAGAATTTTTATTTACCGTATATTTCCCCGCCGCCGCCGCCGCTGTTAGCCGCCTGCAAGCAAATTTAGCAAACTCCATACGGCGCCTGTATAGCGGTGCGGCGTGGAATAATGTTGTTTGGCAATTTGCTGAAAACTTATTCGTAATTTCGTCAGCCTTAACATCCTCCACCGGCTGAAGAGCAGCCGAGATAATTAGTCTATTAAAGTTTAGTTAACTGCTGCGTCAGGTAATACATTTAAACGCATTGCTCGAGGGAGGAGAAGAGTCGGAACAATCGAGTTTCAGAATATTATCGATAGCGCAACGTAAAAAAAAAAAATACAGAGACTAAAAGTGATTAATTAATCAAAAAGATTGTCCATTTCGTGTATCGCGTACTACAAGCCTCGAACTCCGAGCTTTAATCAGATCCGAAAGTGAATGAGATAAATTTTCCCAATTTCGCTCGATTAAAACGCGAATAATTATGCGATTCGCTGTGTTTGCGAAAGAAAAAAATACACGTGTGAGATGTGATGAAAGACAGCCGCCGCGAGTCAGGTAGATCCTCTACTTTTATCCCTTCGAATAGGAGGGGGGGGGGCGGAAGACACGGCACCGCCACTCGGCGACATCGCCGAGTCGTTTTATTTCGATTCGCGTGGACTGGTAGGGGTAACTTTATTGATTTCGAACGGAATTCCGGCGCTTTTTTTTTTTTTTTTTATCGTCATCGAGAATTCCGTTCCGCTGCCAGAAAATACGCGGCTTCCCGATCGCCGCGTTTTCCGTCGTCGGCGAGATAAAGATTGATAAAGGTTGTTTATTATTCCGCGCAAGTACGGCGCGCGCAATTGTCCGGAGTTCCATTTTCTTCGCCGCTTTCCAATTGACGGTGGAAAAAATCGTCTGTCTTTGCAGCCTTGTGTGCAAGCGCAAACAAACGCGGCGAAGATTGTCAAAACGCGCGCGCAATCACGAGTCGGGTTGAATGGATTGCAATTTTCCGCAAATTTGCGGTGCGGCCGGCCGGCTGAGCTCGCTATTTGCCGCGCGAATTATGTCACGGGCGATACAATGCGTGCACGCATTTCTGCGATGCGCGCGCGGACAATAGAAATTGCGCATGGGACGATGAGAATTGCGGGCGATCGAAATTTATCGACTGTTTTGAAGCGCGCGCGCGACTGCGGCTGCGAGGTTATCACCCCTAATTAACCCCTTTGGTTCCGATCGCTTGATAGTAGCCTAGCTGAGCAGTAACTCGATTTTAATTGTAGTACTAAATATTTGCACATTGAAACCCGCAAGAACACCACAAGAAAACCTTTACTGAATTTTTCCTCTTCTTTTTTTTTATTATTTTTGAAATTGATTTTTGGACATAATGTTATTTTTATTAATTACCTCAGATATTTAAAGATGTTTAGAGAAGAATTCAAAATTGTCGAAACTGATATTTTAACTTATTCATTTTGCGAACTTAGAAAATGAAGCTTGCACTTTTAGACTCCAAGAAACCCCATTAAGAGTTAAAGGTTAATTCGATGGACTTCTGAGACATCGCGTTGACATTTTGTTGAAAATTCGCCAAGCACTCACGTTCGTTCACGACCCTATTCCGTAGCGCTCTCCTCTCTCGGCATTATTGAAACGGAATTCCCGATCGTACGAGTTCATGTAAATAGAATGACTGATAGACTCGGATACTCGTTGATAACGACGAAGAATGTGAAAAGAATACGAGATGCAAGAGCAAGAGAGCGGGGAGGGGAAGAGACGGAGGGAAGAGAAAGAGAGAAAGAGAGAAATATGCATGACACAGAGCACGGCGGTGACACGAGAACGCGATGCACTTGCATCTGTGAGTATAATGCAGACACGACGGTACACTTTGAACCTTCAAAAGGCACCGTGAGATGATCGGTGTGGCGTAGCCGATGGATGAGCAAACCATCGAATCGATTCGACCCCAGCCTTTAATGGTCTTTACGCGCCCGCGTTGTTAAAGATCATCGCGCGAGAATTCGCCGAGTGTAGAATTTTATCTCTCTTACGTTAAGTTTCGTGCGTAAAAAACGTTACATCGTTACACTGTGTGTGTGTGTAAAGGAAACAAGTGTACTGCGACAGTCATTGCATCGCGAAAAATTGAACGATGCGCGGAATCGATTGTCGATTGAGGTGAAATTCCCATCTCGAGCCCAGTCCGTTTAATTTTGCAAAGATTTTTCGGCCGCGCTCGATGATACACCGCAGAATTTGTCGTATCCACATCAAAGCGGATTGCGTGGTTCAATCAACCGGCAAAAATGCCGACAGTTTCGAAAGAGCGCGGTATGTAACGCCGATGTTTCGCCGTTGAGTCCGGAATTTACAATTGCCTTGCGTTACGTAACAGCGAGATTAACACATTCGCCACGAGGCGTATTTTGTATGCCGGTGAAACGTTCCTCGTCTCTTCCACCTTCGGGGAAGGACGCGCGGCGGGGACGAGCGTTCTGTATGTATGCGCGTGTACATCGGGCACACACAGCGTTTTAACGTACACGAGGAAGCCATATGTCCATTCGGTAGCTAATCATTAGGCGTTCACAATGCAGCTCTCGTCGCGTGCTAACCACACGTGCGTGTCATCAGGAGAGCGCGTTCTATCGCGTGGCGACGTATCCGCCGCTGGCGTATCTATAACCGCATATGTGATCTACATACACGGCGTGGAAAATTGCGTAGCTGCGTGTTGCGCGGCAACAATCTTCTCGTCCGTGCGTCATTCAGGCCACGTACACACATGCGTGCGCCGCCAATTCGCGCATTTATTCCGTAAGAATCAGTCTCGTCTGATTTAAAAAGAAATTAATCGTGACAAGTGTGCGAGTTACGGAACCGTGCGCTTTTTTTCGTTTCCTCTCGCGCCTTCGGTAAAGAATAAATTTAAAGTTTCTGATTATTTTTTTTACGACGCGTTGTTTAATTTGATCAAAGATCCACGTTCAGAAATCTTGGAGAATGCGAAATTAGATCCGGCGAGACTCCTCCGGACGTTTCTTTTACGACACAATGTTTCTCGCACGTACTGCGCACAATGCTTCTTTCTATTCGACTCGCCTGGTCGAGGTAGTCAAAGCCGCACAAGTTTCGTGCGTCTAACGGGCGAACGAGAGAGGGCGATGTACCGAGTTAACGGACAGGGGCGAATAAAAAAAAGCTCTTTCAGCGAAGCTCGAAATTAATTCCAGGAAGGTACACCAGATAATTATGCACATGCGATGCCTTTATTATCCGCTGACGCCGTTTTGTCTACGGTGCGTGTTTGCGCGGCGGCGAAGTGGAGTGCGCGGAAGAGAGAGAGAGAGAGAGAGAGAGAGAGAGAGAGAGAGAGAGAGAGAGAGAGAGAGAGAGAGAGAAAGAGAGAGCGAAATGTTGCACCGCAGACTATAAAATTACCTTTACGTGATTTTCATCTAATGTTTGTCCGATCTGTCGCGTAACTAACAGATTGCTTCTCTCTCTCTTGTGAGAATTAATAAATTCAATTAATTTATACATAAATTTATATGCGTATACATAAATATAAATATATATATATATATAATTTAAATGGAAATCACGCGCGTATCTTCTCTGATTGACAACCTGTCAGATAATACGGATTGATCAACGAACCTCGCGCGAGTATTATTTGCG